CAGGTTCTTCCTTGAAACTGGATCTGTAACTGGCCACCGGGCGGTCCGGGGGGGGCGACAGAGCGCGGAGGCCTGGCTGGGTGCGCTCCGCGGCGGCGCTGGGAGGCCGGGGCACCCTGGCTGCACGATGTGCCAATCGTTAGGTGTGGGCGAGAGGACATCCCCAATGAGGGCCTCTTCACTAAAGAACCAAGTCTGACGGACGGAGGTGGGGGGTGGGGGGGACCCGCTGGGGACAAGAGTCCATCAGCTCCACAAAGTAACAAGGCCCTTTTATTGTAAATCAAGTTCAAACTCGCGCTCGCGCTCCCACGGGGCGACCTGCAGTTGGTGACCGATAGCAGCGGCAGCAGGGAGAGTCCCCAGTCCGCCGGGACAGAGCCTCGGTGCAGATACGGGCTCGGCTTCGCGGACCTGCAGGGCGGCCGAGCGCCTCGGGAGGGCTTCTCCCGGGCCCGCACCTCTCCAGGCGGCCTGCGAGCTGCGAGAGCAGAGGAGATAGGTGCCATCTAGAGAGGTTCCACTGGCGACGCCGCCCCCGCCGCCGCCGGGGTGCACGGGCTTGGCAGCAGCAGACCCGGGGTCCCGCTCCTCCCCCGTCGGCTTCCACTAAGAACTTCTTAAACAGCGGCGGTTTAGAGTTGATATATCACTGAGCGCTACTTACCCCGAGATCTTTGGGTTTTTGAATTACTTTATTGATCTGAAGATTTTGTTCTCTGGAATGTGACCCTGTTTGGACTTAGAGCTGATCAGGAAACGCTGCGGGGAGGGCTCTTTGTAATCACCTCAAGGCCCTCCCCCGCGGGCGCCGCCGACTCTTCCCGGGCGCGCCCCCTACGGTCGCCTAGGCTTTGCCAGCCAAGCCACAGTGAGACCTGGGAGCTGTCTGTGGTGCTAGGAGGGACTTGGGGAGAGACACCCAGGGGAAGAGACAAAGAGAGGTAGGAGGCAGGAAAGAAACTGACAGAGATCTTCCAAATGCAACCAGGAGGGGAGGGTCTTTCCTTCGCCCAAAAACAATTGGCCTGGTTTTCCAATGCAGGAGGCCAGTGACGCCTTCCTTTATCTGAAAACACACGGCCCTCAAACTCATAAATTTAACCTTACCCAGCCAGCCCCAGCCCTTGCCCCTGTGCCCCCTCCCCAGCTCCGAGGGTGTTCAGTTTGCTACAGGTAAGAAGGGACGAACACTGGGCCCTTACAGGAGGATCCAATTCCAAGAAAAGACATAGGAAGTGGAGAAGCTGGAGTGACCAGGGAAGTGACACTGGACAAAGCCTGAGTGGGTGACTCAAGGAACCTGGGGACATTCTTCCAGGATCAACCCTGGGGAAGACCTCACTCACCCATTAGCCTACACCTCTCTCTAGTCAACAGCCAGGGCACAGGGCAGGCCAGTTTTCCCTTACCAAGGATTCAGAACTGCAGGGGAAATATTAATTCCCTCCAAAGCTGGGCCTGTCCCTGATGATGGCCCACTAGTGGTGAAAGTCAGTTTCTTTTCCAAGCATGTTGATTTCTACCCTTGCCTGGCTTTTTCAAAAACCAAGCAACTCTCTTCCAGTATTATTTTTGTTAACCACGTGGTGTAACAAGAACTGAAGTTTCTCTAGCCCTGGGGAGAGCTTTTCCAAATATTTTTAGAAAGTTAAAAATATAACAAAACAAACTACTCACATGCAGCCTGTTTAAAGAGGGGAGGTGGGATTCGACAGACTCTTGGGGAAGCGCTGCCTAGGCAGGAGTGAGACAGCAATGATACAGGAGGGAAGACTTGGTTTGAGAGTAAGCAGTTTTATTTGCAACAAAGGAAACTGGCTGTCTAATTTGCCATCGTGTGGGCTTTCATTTTAAGGAGTGGAGCAAAAATAAACTGATACCCGGGTGGTAGGTATACTTGCTGGAGGCTTGGAGGCAAGCAGCAATGTTACTTTGCAATTCATTGAAAATCGCTGGGTTGGGTTACAAAGGCTGGTGGCTAGGCAAGCCGGAGAATTTAACTTCTTCCTTAGCACTACGGATTTGTGCTGAGTTTGCCAGGGTTCTCTAAATTGATCTGGGGGTGGGCAAGTCTAAGGGGTGTTTGCGGGCTTTTAAACAGCTCTCAAAGTTCATTTTCCTGTGCTACTCTAGGAAAGAAAGAATGCCACTGAAGGGGCTGTTTTACTTCAACTTAATCAAAGGAGCAATCCAAATGGAGTCTAGTCCTAGAGTGCCTCTCAAACAGCACACCCCTGTAACACACACACACAGAGGCACACACACTTATTTGCAGGCACAAAAGTACAGAATGACCCCTTGTGAAGAAATGGACTAGGTGTGCTTTTTACTTTTAAGCAGTAGTTTGGGGACTTTTGAATACTAGGGCACCTGCTGAGGTGCCCTTTTGCACAACAATATTGCAGGGGGAAGAAAAGGGAGAACTGAGTACCCAACTTTCTTCCTGGGATAACACCTCTCCACATCCCTGCATTCAATTTGCCAACTTGCATGCAAAAGCAAGTAACCAAAAACAAAACAAATTTACAAAAGAGGGATCACCATTTTCAGCTGCATGAGTTAGGGACTGTAAGAACACATGACTGTGAAAACTTGAATAAACTTGGGGGGCTCTGATGTGTTCCGAATAACTGCTAACAGCAGTGGAAACCTGTTAGTTTAGTGCTTCCCCCTGCACTGACCACCTAAGGAGTCCAAGTTCAGCCTTGAGAGTAAAGTAACAGTGGGCCAACTCCCCAGCAGGGCAGCTGCTGGGCTGCTGCCAGCAAATGGGTAGTGGTCTTGCTTGGAATTGTGGGTTGGTTTAGCTATTTTCCCTACCTGAATCTGAGGTGATTTTTTATATGGATGCTTTGTATGTGTGAACACTGTGCCCTCCAAAGTCCCACTTTGGCCAGGCCTAAACAGCCCCAGGGCCAGTGCAGACAGCTGCTATCTCGTCCTCAAACTTCAGAAAGTGCCTTTTTAGGTCCAGGCAACTTGTTTTAAACTGTTGAAACTTGATTTAAAAAAAAAAAAAACTCAACTGCAGTTAAAATGAAACAAGGAGAGTCTGCTGAGTGCCAAGTATTGGGTATCCCCACTGGACCCAGGGTGCCCAGTAGCCAAGCCCAGCTGTCTGAGTTTGTCCAAGCTCAGCAGGCATAATCTGAGAAGGGCCAGTCCAGGTCCTTTTGTTAGAATCAAAGAAGACTAAGACCATTTTTAAAGCAAACTGATGGGCCGGAGAGAGATCTGCAAACCACTCCCTAATTAGCCTCAAAGCACTGGAGGTGATTTCCTCCTGGATTTCACCTCCTTCTTCCCTTCTTACTTCCCACCCCTCCTCAACTTCCTTCCCACACCACTCCACATTTGAAAAACATTTTTAACTCTACTCATGTCAAGCATCAGAGAAAGTTAGAAGCCAAGTGCAGATGTGTCTTACTTCTTGGCACCAGGGCAGGAATGAGGACAGAGGTGTGAGGATGCTCAGAGAATACCCCTTTGGATTTACTTGGGAAGTGATCTGGGGCCCAGAGCAGGAGAAGCAGCTCAGGAGCTTAGTCCTGAGCGCCAGCCTTGGTTCAAAGTCAGCCTGGCCAGGGCACCTACTGCAGGAACTGAAGCCCTGGCCCTGGGTGCCACGGGCATTCTCTCTCTCTCTCTCTCTCTCTCTCTCTCTCTCTCTCACACACACACACACACACACACACACACACACACACACGAAAGCAGGCACACTCTGCGGAAGCTGTCTCATTCTCATTTTGGGTCCTAGCCTTTCCAGGGGAGCAGATACAAGGCTTGGCACGTTGGTCTCAACCAGAGCCCGCCTTTGCATTCCCACCCCAGGCCTGGAAGAAGCAGAGCGAACTCGTTAGGACCTACGGCTCCGTGTGGGGCTGGGGCTGGACGCCGGCCGCCGAGGACTGAGAAGGCCAGGATCAAAGCCGCGACATGGGTTTGTTAGCAGGGCCTCCCCCAGTCCCCCGGGGCGTCCTAATTGCTCGCCCTGCAGCGTCCCGCTTGCAGGCTGTCCGGCCGCGCGGGCGCCCAGCCGCAGGCGGTTGAACAGCTGCGAGGCCCGCGAGCGTCTGCCCAGCCGCCCAGCCCCTGCCCGTGTCGCAGCCCAGCGCTGGCTACTCTCGCCCCCCAGGAAGGCCCCTAGGAGAAGGGGGAGGGGCGGACAGAGGGTCCGTCAGGCCCCGCCGTCAGGCTAGGGCCTCTAGGCAGGAGGGGACAGCAGGAGAAGTTGGCCGCCTACTTTAGCCAGCACCCACGGCCTAGGAGCGCCGACTTCCTCCTGCGGCCACCCACTTAAAAAAGAAAAGCAACCGCACCTAGCAAATAACAGCTAGGCAGAGGCCAGCGTGGAAAACGGAGATGCCAAACAAGCCAGCCCAATGTCTTGACAGACTTTGTAAATTTCTTAGTATTCTGGAAGACATTTTCTTTTCTTAACCATGTCACACATTCATCATTGCACATTCTGTTTTAGTAAAATCAGCTTCCTGGGATTTCGTCACTTGTTAAAAAAAGATAAACTTTATTTTTGTAATTTTCAATCACAAAAAAATCTATATTTTTGTCTAAGCATTTATTTTACTGAATCAAAAAGACATGAAAAGAAAAATCATGTTTTTACTAACGTATATAAGTGACTCTTTTTTGGACAACATATAATAAATATGATATATCACTTATCACTCAGTCTTTCGAATGTACATTTTTTTCATATTATGGAGCATGCCACTTTTCCAAAAGAAAAAAGGTCATGAGAAATCAGTGCAAAGTTCTCAGTCACCCTCCTCTTTTCTCTGGGGCAGACGGAAAGTCCACACGACACCCTCTGCCTGAGGGTGAATTTTAGGAGCTGTCTGCCCACCTACAATTCTCCCTGCCCCTACCTTCCTCTCCATGCCCTTCTTTCTTCCCTCCTTAGCCCTCCCCCTCCCTCCCTCCTGCTTGTCCCTAAAGTCATTTTAAAAAAGAATTTGAGGTTTTGCTTTCGTTGATGTTTTCACTTACTGGTTGCACTGAGTGGGGTCAGCGGTTTCACCAGTCACACCACAGTGGGGAACGTTCCAGCCCTGCCTCAGGGGATGGGGATGGAGAGGAGAGGGCTGGCTCCCCTTTGGGGACCCCTGCCCATTGGTGAGCGTCTTCTCTCTCACTCCTCTGCCTCTCAGGGAAGGCCGCAAGGGAAGCCTGGTGGCCTGGTGCGGGGAGAGGCGGGGCAGCTGTCCGGGTCGGGGCGGGGACCTGGAGGGAGAGCAGCGCCTTCCCTCCTTCTTCACCGGGGATGCGGGGTGCCCGGGATGGGGTTGGACAAAGGATTAAGGGCAGGCTGTCCCCCAGGTCCCAGGCCATGGATGAGCACGCGTGGCACCAGCGGCCGCTGCAGCTGGGGATGGGGGGCCGGAGGAGTCCGGTACATGCTGCTGTACATGGCCGCGGCCGCCGCGGCCGCCGTGGTGCTGTCCATGCTGCCCAGCAGGCTTGGGTGATAGAAATAGGGCGATGGAAACATCCTCTGCAGCGCGGAGTAGTTCCCCGCCTCGGCCAGCAGCTCCAGGCCCACTGCCGTCTGCCGCTTCCACTTGGTCCTGAAAGAGAGCGCGGCGTGGGCCCGCAGCTGTGGGAATGGTCCAGGCACCAGGCCGGCCCTCCCCTGCCCTCTCAGTCCTCCTGCTCTCCCAGCAGAGCTCTGGGCACCCGGAATGCACACTCACATCTTGCCTCGTGCAGTCTCAGGACCTACCCAAACCCAAAATCAATTTCGTAAAACTACTGCCTGAACACCCGAGACACTCACAAATGAAATCCTACAGCAGGGACTGCCTTTTCCTAACCTTCCGCTACTGTTTGGTTACTTCCTGAAACTTTCCTGAGATTCCTCTTTCCATTACCAGTCTTCCCCTCCTCCCTCAATTCTCCCTAGAGAGGCCCATGGCCTGCAACAATCCCAAAGTGTCTGCTCTCTGCCCCTTCCCCACTCCTTAACTGTAAACAAAGGGACCAGAGACTTCTGGGCCTTGCATCCCAGGCCCTTGGTCCCCAGGGCTGTGGAGACAACTCTTTCATCAGTCTGACATGTGGATGAGGGACTTAGGGTGAGAAGGGTGACAAGGTTTCAAAACGGAATTCATTTGAGAGAGGGCTCTCCCAAGGGGACAGTACCTTCTGCCCATTCTGGGTTGGGGGGAAATGCATTTCAAGACATTTCCTCCTGGGGAGGTTGTAATAATTAAAACCTAGGATCCATTCTTCTTGGCCTCCTCCCTCCCCCACTGCATCCCAGCCAGGAAGGAGAGGAGCAGGCATTTGCTCAAATGCCTTATGAAGGAACGTGCGGCTGGTGGGCCATCCATACCCAGCAGCTCCAGCCAAATTAATAAACATGTCGCCCATTTTAAATTGGCTACAAATGACACTAATGTTTTCCGACAGAATTAGGGTGGCTGAAACCGTATGTAATGAGACAGAAAATTATGGTAAAGATGACAACTGGATGGGCATTTCCAACCGCACTTATGGACGATTAGAACACAAATGAGAGAAAAGGAGGGGGAGAGAAAATCGAGACAAGGGAAATGAGCGGCCAGCCATGGACACCGGCATATCTCCCCTTGGACTGCCGGGATTTGGCTCTATATAGTTCAGGACCCTGCAAAAGAGGCCAGCTGCTTTCTTAATTTCCTTTCTAAAGAAGCAGTGGTGTGGGGCAGGCTCTGTAGAACCTCATCTCTTCTCTCTACTGTGACAGCAGAGGCAGCCAGTACAGCCTCCCCACATTACCACCCAGTCTGGATACTTGGCCAGCTGCCTGATTCTCCAGCCTGTGGCCGAGCCACCTCTAACTCAGCTCAGCTTTACTAATATGTATGGCCATGGTGACCAAAGCTGGGACCCTGGCTCTCCCAGCTACCTCACAATTAAGCTGAGGCTGGTAGGACAGCTCTGTGAGAGCCATAATTCTGGGCCTTGGTGCTGACTATTTGGAACCAGCCTGGGGCAGGCCCAAAGGGTGGCTTGTGTGTGCAGGCTCCTGGGTTTAAGTGTCAGCTGCACAGATGTCTCCATTTGGGAAGGTGTGGCTTGATTGATTTGGGGACAAAATGGGGGAAATTCCAGAGGCCTAGGTTTCAGAGGGAAAGTCCCACCTGTTAAAACATTTATAAGTGTGAAAGTGTCCAAACTTCAGTTGCCCTGCAGTCTCACTCACCTTGGAGGCTAACCCCTGTCCTAGCCTAAAAGCACCCAAGTGTCTACTGTGCACCCTGTGACTCTCAGGCCTGGAGGGAGAAGACTAGTGATGGTCATGACCCCAGTGGCACATGCCTCTGCTCCCAGTGCATCCTTCCTTACCTGCGGTTCTGGTACCAGGTCTTGACTTGAGTGTCGGTGAGATTCAGTGCAGCTGCCAGGTCCATGCGGTCCTGGACGCTCAGGTACTTCTGCCGCTCAAAGCTTCGCTCCAATTGATTGAGCTGGTGGTCGGAGAAAGCTGTCCTGGCTTTTCGAGGCTTCTTGGCTCTCACAGGGGGACTCTCTCGGCTACTAGTAATCTCCCGATCTCCTTCCTCCTTTGTTCCTATGATGGAAATCCAGCTATGTAAATTAGCCCGAAATGGGGAAGGGTGGAGTGTCCTGTTGGTGTACAGTGCCACATTCCCAAGCCACGACACTCGACTACCCCTCTCACACACATACATACTTGGGCCTGAGCCATACAGAGGATGAGAACTGTTTTCTGGCTAGGGAGCAAGGGGCCTTTGCAGGGTTCTAAAAGGGCTGAAATCCTCTGGACGTTGGAAGGTAAAAGTTTTTTAAATGCTTTTCAGTAAGAGGTTCTTTTGCTACTTTCCTTGATTGGGGTAGACACTGTCCCTTTTTAATTGTTTTCACTAATACATTTTTTCGACTTGGTATTTTTCAGTGTTTCTACTTTTTTTTTTTTTTTAGGAAGGGGCACCTTTTTCGCTTTACAATATTTTTTTGTTTTCTTACAAGTTACAGGCATCTGCCTCTTTCCTTTGGTGCACTTGAGAAATGCTGGAATCAAGCTTTCTGCAGCCGCCTGCACCAACTCTTTGAAAGCTTCAGAAAGACTAGGTTACCCAGACACAGAGCTGAGCTCAAAATCACTGAGCCCATGCAGGTGACAATGTGGAGATTTCCGGATTCTATTTGTCAACTTTGGTTTTTTGCTGAAATGCCGGGAAATCGATATGTCAATCCCTCTCTGTTTGTACCCGTTTGTGCAGCGCTCCTTGATCTTCCCTGCAGGAAGAACAATAATCTCTCTAATTGACCCACTGGGGAGGTTGGTGCACGAAAAATCGCCAGACCAGACTGTACATCTGTTTTGGGCACTATTATGCTAACGCTAAAACAAGGAGCCAATATCCCACCTTCCAGACAGCACATATCTTGACCAGAGAATCAAGGATTAATAATAATAATAAATAACATCAGTAAAGGGAAAAAAAAGAACTCCCCTGGTATGTTAAAAACTCTTTTGTAATGGAAAAGCCAGAACACTTATGAAATTGCCTGAGAAGAAAATGGGAAGAAGTGAAAGACAACTTCCATTGTCATCATCTGATTTTACAAAAATAGATAAAAATTTGCTTTTATAAATGCTTCCTCTCCATTTTATGTAAGGAGCCAAAAATTTTACTAACAGAAATTGTGTTGAGTCTGTTGGGTAAGAAAGTGGTCGTTTAAAAAAAACTGATTATGAATGTTTATTGGTTTCTCTGTATTAATCATGACCTAATTTTTAAAAGTTGCAGTTAATTAGCTTGGAAATGTTTCCTTCATTAAATGGGACGATTCCTGTGATGGTGTTTAGGAAATATGGGGGAGGTGAAATCATCTGCATAAAAGAATAAACATTAGGTTGTGATCACACCCCCAGACACCACTCTAGCTAAGCAGTTTCTCTCTCCCGCAGCCCCCACATTCCCATTCCCAAACCCAAGGTCTCGGCTAGAAAAACCTCAATTCGTCCCTTTTTTTTTTTCCAACGAAAAGTATTTCCCGTCAGATCTCCTAGCTGCCGCCCGCTTCCAACACATTAAAATTAAGTGAAACAAAGAAAGGAGCTGTTTCTTTGAAGGTTGTAGGGTAGAAATGTCATAATAAACAGAACTTCGGATGCATCTCTAAATCTCATGCCCAGGCCTCTCTCCAGCTTGCACTCCTGAACGTCGCCCGATCGCCCGAGAAGTCCTGGAAATAATTCCCCATCGGAGATCCGCTGGAAGCTGAAGGGGAGAAAGGAAGCACGGGAAGGAGAAGCCGGACGGCAGCCAGCCGGGGCGGTGCGACTCACCGTGGCATTTGATGTCGCTCTGGGAATCCTCCCGCTTGTCCAGTTTGGTTTTGCTGTCCTCCTGCTCGAGCTTTGGCCTGAAGCTCTCGTGCGCTACATTGCTCTCCTGCTTCGGGGTGTGGTGAGGAGAGGAGACGCTGGTGCTGTAGGGTGCACACGCCGCCAGAGGTTTGCTGTCTCCCAAGATGTCCTTAATTAAAAAAGAAGAGGTGGAAGTCCTGGGGGCCGAGGCGGCCGAGCCCAGCTGCTGGGCGGCCGGCTGCTGCTGCGGCGGCGGCGGCGGTGGCGGCTGCTGTTGGGGCGAAGGCTGCAAACTTTGCGTCGGAGCCGCGGCTGGCGGCGGCGGCTGCTGGCTATGGTGGAGGTGGTGGTGATGCTGGGGCCCGTCAGTTACCAGATGCGGCTCCGGGGGCTCCATGGTGACCGAGATAGGAGAAGAAGGCGCTGTTCCTACGGTATCGATTTCCGAACAAGGAGACGGGGTGGCCTGACTCCTAAAATCCGCAGTCCTGGCCTCCCCGAGCGGGCGGAAATCTCCATTCATCATGCCGGGGCTGCCTGAACTGGCACTGGACAAAATCGTGTCTATTCCAAAACTCGACCCGCTGGCCCCTTCCATTGTTGTCATTTCTACATGAGGTCCACGCCACTCCGCCGGTCAGCAGCCGCCCCGACTAAGCAAAGGAAGCTATCGGTCGTAAAGCAAAATAAACACTACACACTGTTGATGCCGCTTTAAAAAAAAAAAAAAGTGGGGCGGGAGCGAAGGAAGGATAATGGGGAGGTGGCAATCGGTGGACACTTTCGACACAACTTTTTTTCTCTTATGCAAAAAGTAGAGATAGGGAGAAAAACCAGAGGAGAAAGTAACCAAAAAAAAAAAAAAATGGGGCCAGCAGGTACGTGCGCTCTGCGGGACCACCGCGCACGTGGGAAGGCGGCGGCGGCGCAGGGGACCTAGGCGCAGGCGGAGGCGGCAGGAGGCGACCCCGGTACCGCAGCCACCGCCACTGCCGCTGCCGCCGCCGCCTGGGTCTGCCCACAGCCTGGCACCGGGCGGCAGCGGCGGCGGAGGACGTGGCAAATGCAGCGACCGCTAAACCCGGGCGGCCGCGCGCCCTCGGAGCACCCCCGCGGCTCCCGAGGTGGCAGCTTTGCGCGACCTGTCCGCCTTGGAGCCGACTTTCTGAACTTTCTTGGAAAGTTGTGGAGCAGACACGGCCGCAGTGACCGCCGCAACCCGAGGAGGAGGAGGAGGAGGAGGAGGAGGAAGAGGAGGAAGAAGAAAAGGAGCCGGCCCAGGCGGAGGAGATGGCAGAGACGCGGCGCCGGGCGACTCCCGCCGCGACCGAGCGCGTTCGCTTGTAATCCGGCAGCTCGCGGGCGGCGCCGACCCCCTCCCGTGACGTCACGGCCACTGCCGCCGCTCCCCGCGCCGCGCCGGCCCGCGCCCCCGCCGCCGAGGCCGCGCGCCCGGCCCAGCGCCCCCATTGGCCGCGCGCGCGCGAACGAGCGACGCCAACGCGCCAGGAGCCAATGGGCGCACGACTTGCGAGCCCGTCAGCAAGCGCCGCTCGGACCCCGCTGCTCTTTTGAGAACCCGCACATCGCTTTGCCTCCATCCCGGAGCCCAACGCCTACTCCAGTGGTCCTGGTGGTGCCCACAATCACAAGTCGAGGGGAGAGGGAGAAAGGGGGAGATAATGGTGGGACACTAGCGAGAGGGAACCCAAGGGCGAAAAGAAATAAAAGGGTAACAATTTGCCCGTTTTCTTAAGTCAGGTGGGGAGGACGCGAAAAATAAGGGAATCAGGCCGACTTACCTTTAGCCTTCAGGGCGGCCGCCCCCAAACGCGTTTGAATAGCCCGGAGACACTAAAAGCAGAGGAAGGGGAGCCTCGAAGGGACCCACGGGCAAGTGTGCCGGAACTCCGGTTGGGCGCGCAGGCTCTCAGCTCCGATTTTGGCCTCAAGGAGCCCAAACGCCTGGGCTTGGCCCAGCCGGGTGGCCGATCCCCAAGAGGAATAGAGCCGGGTCTGCGTCCACAAGGAAGGACCGGGCCAGGTACTCAAAAGCGGGGACCCAGCCTTGCCACCAACCAAAGCCCCGTGCTGGAAGAAATTCCTAGCCGAACGCTTTCTCCCGAACCGGGAATTGATGCCCGAGGCGTTCTCTAGTGGCGAGGGCAGCCACCGTGTCCGGCCGGCGTGGGGCGCAGGAGCAGGGATGGCGAGTCCGTGGCCTGTGTCCCCGCCGCGCCACTCCCGTTCGTCCGTCCCCTCCCCCGTCGGCCCACCACTCATTTGGAAAGGAAACAGTCACTGTGGATCCATGTGGGATCTGGAGCATGACTGTGACGCCTCGTCGGAGGGTATCAACTTGCATTATTTTCTTTAGGACGACTCCAACCTGTCTCTTGTTGAATGTCAGAGTAATGGGAAGTGCCAGTGACAAGACGGCGTATTACTCCTGATTAAGTGCCGTGTCAACCTAATTAGCAGAGTAATTATAAGGTGCTAATGAATGATTCAAAGTTCTTTGAGTTACATTTTACTCCAAATTACCATTTTAAGAACCCTATGAATCTGCGTGGTTGGCATCGCTTCCGTGACTAGGTGCAGAATGATGTTAGAAAAATGGCTTTAAATGTTTCCACGGGCTGGGCAGAAATCTGGGGTTTAGGTGCAGTTGTGGAGGTCGCTCTCTGGGGAACGGCTTTTTTCTATTGAGGGAGGCCAAGTGACCTCCAGGGACAAAATCTTGCCTGTCCTTGGGAACTGCGTGCTATGTGTGAGCCCCAAGGCTGGAAGGGAGCAGGTTGAGACTCAGCCTCCCTTCGTTTTTCCGGGGAAATCGAGAGGTTTGACCCAGAAAAAGCCCGAGCTATTTCGAGGGTAGGTTGAGCTGTTTCGCATCATCTTTTCTCCCCCGTGCCATTTCTTCCGTGCTCTCTTTGAAGAGAACAGTGGGGAGAGGAGGAACCGAGTACAATCCGGCAGCTCTCGCTTTTTTTCAGAAGGCTATAGGGGAATTTGGCGGAGAAGCCCAGGTTAGTGAGCAAGGCGAGGACTCAGGATGTGCTCCAGGCACAGGCCGTCGCTGGCCCGTGGGGGACCGGGGAACACTCGGGAACGTGTGGCTGGGCCTCCGGAGGGGGGGGTGCGGAGGGAGAGGTCCAGCCAGCCTAGGCTGACACCGAGAGGGCCTGGACGATGGACAGCAGGATCGGGGTTGGCTCGGTCGCCTTTGGCGCAGGAACTACGTGGTGGTCAGGCCAACAGACCCTCCCGGGACCTTTCTGGCCAGGCCTTGGCCTTCCGGCCGGGGTTACACCACCACGGACAGGGGGTCGTACAAAGGCAACTTATCCCAGGCTGCAAGGCCGGGCGCGCCAGGCCCGGCACAGCACACCCTGGAGATCTTGGCACCCGGAGCCTCTGGCATAGTTGACCACTGTGGGAAGGGCGCTAGGGCTGCCTGAGGCTGCGGCGAATGGTACACATTCCTCCCTCTTCAATTATCGATTAGGGTTCTGCCCATTCTGACATCACCCACCAACTTCCCAAATGAGGTGCGTTTTCGCCTCGCCCTGGGGGCTCCAACTCTCCCTGCCTTCACTGAGAATTCAGGGTGGGAAGTGGGGAGGGAAAGAAAACAAATTTAAAATCTAGAACTGACGGCACTGCACAAATCAATTATTCTCGACCTTGATAAATAATTCATTTAAGCCTGTTTTGTTTTGTTCCGAGCCTAAAATGACTCGAGAGCTCAAAAGGCTGATGGCAGCTTGTGTTAGGCGTTTCGACAGGGGTTATTTGCTTGGAATAATTCACAACATTGGCAGGGGAGACCACGGAAATATGACCCTACGAAAACTGAAATCTGAAAACGGAGAAAGAAAGATCCAAGTGTTGGGGGAAAAGGAGCGCGTGTTTTATGAAAACTCTCAAGCAAATAGGAACTCAGTAGGCCCACCTTGTGAATGTTTCAGGCTATACTTTCTTTAAGAAAAAGTTAATATCATAGAAGATTTATTTGGGTGGGTATTAGTAGATTAGCTTTCGGGAGCAACAATGGCAAAGGGAAAATACCACCTTGACCTTTATCAGGGTTCCTATATTTAGGTCCCTCCCAGACAGGAAATGCTAGTAATGGCATGAAGAATCAAAAGAGGGGCTCAAAGACCAGAACACAAACTCAACCAAGAGCAACTTCCTCAGAGCTAGGGTTTTAACTTTTCTCAGTTCTCTCCCCCACCCCCAGACAATCCTCTTTGTTGTTAGGTTTTTTGGTTTTTTTCCTGAATGTACACGTAATGTATACGTCCAAAAACTCGTTTTAGGGCAATGTAAGCACAACTTACCTTTCATTTAAAAAAAATCGAAATTCAGAAGCAGATCAAGATGCAGTTTAATCACATTTGCAAGTGCATGAATATGCATTTGCTGAATTTAATCTCAGATTTCCCCACTGGCTTTAAAATGCGAATAAATAGTGTTTTTTAAATGACATGAATTTTAAAATGATCCTCCACTTTCAGACCTTCATTTTCTTTTTTAAAAGGAGGGGAAGAAAAATGCCTTAATTTTTGGAATTATTGTCCAGAAAGCAGTTATTTGCCAAACCTTTCATTCCAGTCTCTGAAGGAACATCAGTGCGAATCCACACCAAAGAGTCTTCCTTACCACAAAGAATAATTCAAACACAAATCTTAATAAGTTTTGTACCTTATTACATCTTCCACAGTCCAATTTCACTACTTCCATTTGAGATTCTTTTAAGATGGAGCATCAGATTTTTTTAAATCGAACTTAATTTTGAAGAAATTCACTCACAAATTATTTCTTCTATCATATTTAATTTGAATGTTTTTAAGGGTCCACAGAATGATTGTGCCGACGGACTGAAGTGAAGTGCAAAGGCACTTCCCTCCACTGGGCGGCGCCAAGAATACGGAACCCAGGGAACAGACTATTGTTTCTTTCTGTAAAAGATGCAAGACACACAAATAAGCTCTCGATTCTCTACGCTTGACTGTCTGAGGAGTGCGTGACCTCTCGCGGCTTCGAAGCTGCATAAACGTCGGAAGTTTTCATTGTTTTTTCTTTTGTTTTTCGGTCTGTTAATATATTTCCTACTGCTTAAGTTTCTAGATGCATATTTGCTTAGAAAAATACTATATTAAAAAGAAAAACATGAAAACACCGAAATACAGTCCTTTTCTTAAAAGGGAAAGTGGAAAAGTAAAATGAAAGAAGAAAAATAAGGTAACTGAAAACTATTCTAGCAGGAGCAAGTTAAAATAATAATCTGTGTAATTACTACTTGTTCTGAGGGACTGAAAGTTTTGAGAGTTCTGGCGTCACAATAAAAATGAAAAATCACCAAAACACCAAAGATGAAAGAATTTTATTATTCACCAAAACTTTAAAGATGAGTAGTTTTGAAGAGGTCTAGTGAGGTTCACACTCTCTGGAATTAGATGTGTGTGATGTGCAGAGGAACCAGCAAGAAGGATGTGGAGGAAAAATGCTGGAGGAGGGCATTTGGTCCCATTTTGCCACTTTCTATTGTTCTTGAGTAAGGAACTTATTGCTCACCAATTTCCAATCATTTCCAGCTATGGGCAACACTCACTAGCCATTTTTCACTTCTTCCTTCCCTTATTC